TGTCCGGGTGAACTACTAATTTTATCCGAGAATATCGTTCGCAACCTGTCGACCTTATTTTTTCTTTTTTGCTTGTATGATTCGTATTCGTACACGTCTCCAATATCCAATAGAGTTAAGTCATCTGTAGTTGTTTTTTCTTAATTTTGTTACTTACGTTACTCCTACCCAAGTCTCCCTAGTTCCTAACTGTAACTGATTTAGAACCGGCATGCACTGCACGTTATTCTTCGCAATGCAAAATGACATTGCGCATGCGTCAGGAACTTCTGTTCAAACAAACCTCACCTGTTGTCCGGGTCAGCGATTTTGAAAAGGTAGCAACACTATTTCTTAGTGCGCGTTCTCGTGACGTAGCCTGTGTACCAAATTTCAACTCCTAATCGTTTAAGCTCCGCGCTAACTATTATTATCAACCCGTCTAGATTATATATATAGATATATATAGATAATTTAATTAATATAAATGTTTTTGATAAATGATTGATTGGGGAATATTTCTTATTATAATATTATGTGGTTCTTGTGATAAATATATTTTTTAGAATCTAATAAAGCAATGTTTAACGTCCTGAACATTTGTATAAAAAAAACCCAAAATGTTATGAGATCATCTTTTTTTCTTAATGTACCGGTACATTAAGAAAGTTGAGTACGTTGATGCACTTTACGGACTACGGCTGTTTGAAAGGTTTTCTTCCATAAAATTAATGGATTCCTAGACTAATTCGATTCAACATTTTCAAAATACGTAGAGGAGAAGGTGGTATTATGGAACCCCAATTACAATTTAGTGAATTGTAAACAAGGTATCATAACTACACCCACATTTTTTGTGCAAATAGTACTGGTAACTATTAAACTAAATGTTCCTAATTGGATTTTTCGCTAGTGTAATTATAAGTATGGTTTTTGAAGGCTTTTGTACAAAAAGTCCGAAAGTAGGCNATAATAAAGAAATGTAGAAAGAAGAAGCTAATCATTTACAAAAATCACAAATATAATGCTCCGTTTCAACAAGCGCCTAATGTGCGCTATGTGGGCACATAAAGATTATGTGCCTTTATGTGCCCACATAGCGCACATTAGGCATTGCACCAACACCTCCCCATGACTATCATCTGCAAACAGACAAGCAGTGTCATCTTTAAAACCAGGCAAGTCAAAAGGAGAGTCAACAGATGAAGAAATATCAATAGAGTCATCATCATTTCAATATTGGCACAAGAACAGTGTGCCCATTTATCACAACTGCTACATTTATTGTTATTTTTCAAATAAACATAAAAGTTTGAACTTACCTTACTTGTAGACTATTTACTTTACCACACGATACTGTCACTTCGCGCATGCTCAGTTTCGCTATTTTGTAAGCAGACGATATTTTTTTTTTTCATGAAAAAAAATGTTTATCTCGATTGTTATCTTACATTTTATTTCTTGTTAAGATAGTATTTAAATTTAAAAAATGTTTTCATAAATAAAATAAAACGTAAAAACATTATTTTATGATTTGAATTTGTTGGTAATACTGAATACCAGGGGAGTTGGGTTCCATATTAAAAGCACCAATGTGGTCCATATTTCACGCATCTCCATCTTGGGTTAACTTAATTCCTGTCGGCACCAAACTTTAAAAACGTGAAAATCACACAGATTAATATGCACTCCTATGTCTCTGGAAAGGAATACATGCACCAGTGAACCTACAACTACACGATTTATATTTTAAAAATAATTAAATTCACTTAGCATTCAAAACTTGAGAATTTTGAAAAAATCAAATTTGCTGATTAAATAAGGACAACTGTTTAATTAACTGAAGTAAAACGGGTTTTCCCCTGGCTATGGATGTCTGCCTAGTTTAGTTCAGCCACATTCCGCTACAGTTCGCCTTTATCATCAGTTCAAAATGGGGGCCGGATGGCCGAGCGGCGAAGGTGGCAGCCTACCGCTCTGGGGGACCCGGGCTCGAATCCAAACAGGTCGAAAAATTCCCAGGAATTTTTTGGGGGGTGGGCCGTTCGGATGTGTCGGACCCCGTCCCTCACCACCCGGCAGCCCCATTGTGGGCCTGGCCGAACCCATAATGGGCTTGCAAAAAGAGGCCCTCTTAGTGCCCACAGGGAGGAAAGAGTTAAAAAAAAAGTTCGAAATGGGGTGGTTTCATAATACCCGCAGTGTTCCATAATACCACCTTCTCCTCTATATTTTTTGGGAATAATCCGTATAAACTACGCTATAAACAAAAAATTATAGGATTACTTACCGAGTGTGCACCGTTCGACGTCACCATTGCTTAAGCTTGTTTTCGTCGCGGAGCAGCGCACCAAACGGCGGCCGTGATTTCTGATAAGTTATTTTTCTGCGAAAACTTTGTTGAACTTTGGAGACATGATTAATATAAATAATTTTTATGGCCATTGAATAAGAAATGTATAAAATTAGTGCTGTATTAGACTTACGGTACCTAATTTACATACTATATAGACGATAGTAAATGCAACTTACTCGCCTAAACTGTCTGTAGCGTGGCGCTGGACGGCGGAAAGTAGTTCGGCTGCCCAATGACATTATACCAAATTATAGGAGTTTTTTACCAGGTTTGTACGGATACCGTCGCAATTTTTTTGCTGTCATATAGGAATCCGAACTATAGGAACCCGTGTTATAGGGGGTCGACTGTATAACAAAACATCCAACTAATTGAGATCGTAAGAAATAAATAATCGGCTTTGCTCTAGAAACACGGCACAGACAAAAGATGCCCCAACATGGCAACGCATCACGTGTCATGACTTTTATGTTTATAGACCTTGGTAAAACTGTTCAGGAAAAACGGTTGGCAAAGCGTTTGTCATTGATGCTTGCAGCCGATAGCAAAGAGCACGTAGCCTACTTTTAGCAGCAGTGACGTTCTTTGTTGGCAACTGCCTAACAAACTCCTAATAGAGTGAACTATTTACAGATGGTACTTCAGCCAGTTAGTCGCCAGGGACGTAGCTCAAATGGTAGAGCGCTCGCTTAGCATGCGAGAGGTACCGAGATCGATACTTGGCGTCTCCAGATTCATTTTGTTTAAGTATTTAAAATCTGTTCTAATTACATCCAATTTGTATAAACAATCGAATTCTCGAAATACTTTTCAGATTTTTGCTAAAGTTATCAAATAATTCTGTCAGAGAGAATTCTCGTTTAAATTTCAGTCATACAACTGGATGGAAAAATTCCTTTTGCAACTTTAAAACTTTTCGGTTCGCCAAAATTCTCATCGTTTCGGAAGCAAGCTGCAAGTACACCGTCAGTATAAAGTCGGTAGCAGCGATGTACTTGAGTACTAAGTCTCCAGGTATGACGAAGCGTAGGGGGGGGGGAAATTACCATTAAATGGAGACGCCGAGTATCGATCTCGGTACCTCTCACATGCAAAGCGAGCGCTCTACCATCTGAGCTACGTCTCCGACATTCGAATCGCCTTTACAGCTCGTTTTCATTCTTTCGTTATTTGCTGCCAAGTAACGTTTTCACAGTTGCAATCGATTACCCATCCTTGGTTTTTCAAGATCCACAATGTGGGCTGCCGGACTGTATGGGACGGGACTTGACACCAGGTACAGATCGCCCTGAGTTCTTCGACAGCCCGAAATCGATCTCAGAGCGGTAGACAGAAGTTTTAACTGCTCAAACATCCGGCCGTTACCTTCTTATACTAGGTGTAACACTTAGGTATAAACAGTTTGTTATTGTACACTACACACAAATTGTTTTTAATTGGTCTGGAATGTACCGTATCTCTGACTTAATATATTATTTCGGTGAGAAATTACTATTCGATGTACACCATTTTGTTCACGATGCGTTTTAGGAACTTAAGTATGACATACATGAAGGACGTTCTGTACTTAATAACGACAGATGAAATTTGATCGAATAATGTAGGGTCTTATATCAGGAATCATGGTAGTGACTCTCAGGCAAGTAAAAACTTTACTGACTGACTACACATGCAGGAATCAGAGTTGCCGATTTTCGAGGATCGATTTTTCCGCCCTCAAACACCTATAGTTATTTCGAATATCTCGTCTTGTTCGAAGAAAAATTAATTTCTTAGGTAGTGTGCAAAATTTCAATATTATGTTAAAGCGGTTGCCGAAATATAAGCAATTAAATAGTGCAAAACTCTATTTTCTTCTCATTTTTCTTCATCCGGCATTTCAGACGCTCGTAGAAAAAAAATTACTGGGTCTAGAAAGCTCAAATTTTAAACTTAAGCCTTTCTCGTTATCGGCGAGGCCAAATTTCCAGGTCGAGACCAAACAATTCAAAGCTAATTATGGATTTGTAACGTAATTGTCTTCAAAGTAGTCCTTTCCAAAACTATATCTTTAGCCCAGTGCTAATTACACTGCTTGAAACATACATTACTTTACAATGGAATGTGAAAAGGCAGCTTTCAGAAAATTATTTTATTTCCACAACATCCTGAAAGCTTTTGCTTTCAAATGGCTTCTGAATATTGGGAAGACAAAAAAGTACCTCTAAAGCCACTGTATATGCCAATCTCACTCCTAGTGAGAATGGCAAATACAGTGGGACTTGTGGGATGTGATGCATGCATGATCAGCTGCATTTATCATGGCAAAGTTGTTACTTTCCACTCTGATAATCTGTCACAAAAGGCTGACATTTTAAGTCCCTGAAATGCTATAAAACTTGAATATAATATTTCTTGTTTATTGTCTGATGTGGAGAGCAAGTTTTTGATAAAATCTGGTAAATTTTTTGACATTACAAATGCAATGAACAGATTAGCACATGCAAGAATATTGCATTGTTATAAATTAATAATACATGACTCATAGCACATGCACCAGTAGTTTTCTTCTAGCTGTTTCCTACTGTGTTCCTTAATTCTAGACTTATGCTACCAGCCCAGATATTTATGATCCCACTTTATATATAAAAATATTTTTTAAACTTTTTGAAATAAATTTCTGAAAGATATCCATAATACTTTTATTTGCAGCCAATGATAGATATTTTATAAAATATCCAACATATCAATAGACATTTTTATAGAACTTTTACCAAACCACATTAGAAAACCAACATAATCAGCAATAGTATTTTCTTACATATAAATACAATGCTCAATTTTCAAATATAATTTTTGAATTTTTTTCTGATCCTCAATTGTTTGGAGAATTCACATAGCTGTATCAAAGTTTTAATTTATTAATTAAGCCAGCAGCTTTGTGAATACTTACAATTTGCAAATAATTTTGTTTATATTTAGAAAATTACTAAATATATAAACAACATCATTTTCATTTAACTTCTCTCAAACTTATATGTATACAATATTATAGAAAATTAGCTTAACAAATATAGAATATACATTACTATTCCTTCCACAAAGTATTTTTGATATTATAAATTAATTTTTTAACTAATAATATTGCATAGAATAAGTTTAAACCAAACTGCAGTATAATAAGAAGTCTTTAAATTGCAATATTTTTATAACTAATATTGTTGAAATGTTGCCCCATTACAACAACAATACTGAAATAAGTATAATTTTTACATATCAATAAAGGCCCAATTTATAATTAAATGGATTTAATTTCCATTCCATGTTCCAATAAAATCACAAATTATGAAATTGTGAATCTTAACGAATCGGAGACGACGAGAATGGAGAAGATGAGAGCGGATTAAATGCATCCATGTCTTGATCTGCTTGATTATTTTTTATTTCTTGAAGTGTATGAACAAATCTTGACCATTCATCAATTTTAGGTGTTGCTAATTGCTGCAGAATAAATTTAAAGTAATTTTTCAGAAATATTCTCTAAATAGTAATGTAAGACATACAATAGAAAATAAACTTACTTCACCAACATCATATATCCAAATCTTGCCCATATCATCTCCTATGGTTACTTGATGTCCAGAAGGCGTCCATATAACTCTATTAAGAGCAGGATTACCTTCCACAGCTATGCTTATTGTTGGAAGCTAAAAAATATAAATAAATTACCTTTTCAAAATATTTCAGAAGTAAATTGCAAATTAACAATATAGCAAAAAATTTATTTGTTTTAATTTTTAATTATAGGTAACACCATCAAGTGGCTATTTGGCTTCTCCCAAAAAACAATCATATTCCCTTGAAATTACAATAACAACTTAAAAACTAAAAACAAAATTACAAAACATAGCATGCTACCCAGACCTCTGGTCCGATCTCATCTTTCAGTACGTACAAGGTCTGTTCAAAAAGTATCGGACCTTTGGTCGGCAAAAATACATTTATTGATTTTGAGGTATAAAACCCTAATCCCCTTCAAAGTAGTCTCCTTGGTAGTGTATACACTTCTCCCAGCGTTTCTGCTATTGTTGGAAACACTGCTGGAACGCATCTTTTGAAATGGCCAACAGCCAGTCCGTTGCATTCCGCACGATGTCTTCTCTCGACTAAAATCAGGTTCCTTTTAGCGGCATTTTCAGCTTGGGAAATAGCCAAAAGTCACACGGAGCCATGTGGGGAGAGTACGGAGGGTGACAAACCAAAAGAGTGTTGTGTTTGGCGATGAAAGCCCGAATCAGATGCGCAGAATGGGCGGATGCGTTATCAAGATGGAGCTGCCAAGTTTTGATCGACCACAGATCCGGTCGTTTGCGTCGCACAGCATCGGAAAGATGACGAAGGACCTCCTGGTAGTACTCCTTTGCGATGGTTTGGCCTCGTGGTGCGTACTCACAATACACCACCCCACGAGAGTAAAAAAAACTGTCAACATGACCTTGATATTTCTGCGGGCCTGCCGCGCTTTTTTTTGGCCTCGAGGATCATCTCCAAAAGCCTGCTTAATCTTGTGAATGGTTTACGCTCGGATATCGCCAAGGTTTTAGGAAAAATTTGATGTAATATCGCTGCTCACGTTGTTCAGTCATTTTCCAACTTAGTGGAATCCGACGAGAGCTCGCTACATGTCCTCACTCATAGGCCGACTGCCAACGACTGATGCTTCCTGCAGGCGGGAAAAAATTCAGGGCTGTGCATGACTGTCCCCTCCACAACTCCACCGAAAAAGGCCTCCCGCGCATCATTGGTTTACGTGGAAAAACTAAAAGTCCGATACTTTTAAACAGACCTCGTATAACATTATGCTATAGCCATCGTCGGTTACTACAGTGCTAGCTAGGGACGCATCAAGTGCTCTTGTCCTATAAACTCCCACATAAGGCACCCAACCAACCATCGTATACCCTGGCAAGGCACATATATAAACAAAACAACTCTATGAAAACCCAATACATTTGTTCAGCAGTTATGGATTCGAGTCCCGCTCCGGGCCAATAACAAGTAGAAATGATGATAAATTTGAATAAGCCAACTTAAACCAGTTCTTATCAAATTATTATACAAATTTCTACGCTTAATTGCTGATTGCATTTTAAAAATTGTAATGTATAAACATCATTTAACTATCAGTTCTATAAATAATTATTTAATTATTTAACAAGTTACTTACTTCAGTGTCATTATTTAAATTCCAAATATCTAATCTTCCCATTCCATCTACACATGCAAATAGTGCAGGATGAATAGGGGACCAAGCCAGATCATATACATAATCACCATTATCTTCAAAAGAATATAGTGGCTTGTTTTCCTGAAATTGTAACATAACAAAAATTAATAAAAGCAAAAGCATATATTTTAAAACAAAGGTCAGCAAATTTTTAATTGTATTCTGTTATAGGAATACAATTAAAAATTTGCTATAACAGCAAATGTGCTATAACAGCACGGAAAAATAGTATGCAACACATAAGTTAAGCTCAAGATTTTTAGTTCAGACTTCTGGCTTAGCTCAAATTTACTGTATAAGTTTATCCCCAAATATGAAATAAATTAGAACTGAAATGTGGATACTACATAGTATAATATACAGTACATATAATGGAAGAGTATAATAAAATCTTTCATCAATTTTGTAATAATTTTCAAAATATGATCAATAAAATATCAAAAATGAAAAGTTTCTAAAAAGAAAGAAAAAACTTTCAGAAATCTTGTCACTGAACTGAGCTGTACAGGGAAAATCCATTTTTTCCCCCAGTATTTAGAAAATATTATTATTAAACAATAAAATATAGATTACATTATAAAGTTGAATTCTTTTGCTATTTGATATAAGTAACATTAAAAGAAATAACTCATATAAATAAACTAAGATTAATTATACCTTTAAGCTCCATAGTTTAACTGTCCAATCAAATGATGATGTCAAAAACAAATGTGAAAAATCTATTTGTCCCTGAGCAGTGTGAGCATCAATTCCTGTTACAGGACCCTGATGACCTTCAAACATATCCAAAATTCCAGCTTTGCTACCATGTCGACATGCTGTAAATTGATCATTTAAAAGAAAATTGAAATTTTTCAATCATCATTTGAAAATAATTTTGAAGTAAAAAAATTAATTATTTTTTAATATTTACATAATTTTACACATTATTATTATTTATTGTAATAATTTAATGAATTAAATTGTTTGTTATTTAATACTAAATAATTTAACTCACTTTTGTTCTACTTATTTTTTATTCCTGCTTTATGTTATTTTGTTAAGAATAAGCCAGACTATCTTTTGGCATTAAGGTTGTTTACTTGAAAAGTTTTTAATTACAAACAAGTATTTTCAACATTTCAAATGTCATTTTCAGGCTGGGCATATAACATTTAAATTACAATTTTTAAAAAAGTATATTAAGTTAAAATATTTCAAACATGTGGTTTAAATCTTAACACAGTTTTTACAGAAAACTGAACAGATATGACATAAATGTTATAATTTTAACTTGCTAATGTATTTTAAGGTATCTTAAAAAATAAAAATAAGCAATTATTTTAATAATTTGTAAAATGTAATCCATATCACTGGTAGTTTGAAAGTGGGTTTGTTACAGGGCTCTAATGTCATTATGTATAATGACTCCCAGAGAAAGATGGTTCTGTGATTTAAAATATTGCTTAAAGAGGAAAGCCTTAGCCATAAAAATGTAAAATTATTCTCTAATACCTTTCTGGAAAGTTTGGTGTCATTAGAAAGCTCATTTTTATGTTATTTAACCATTAATACAAAGAAAGATAATCTGGTTAATAAATCAGTTAACTACCTTTATAAAAATAAAATAGTGTATGAATATTTAAATTTTTTATTCACCTTAACTTTTAAATTAATAAAAAATTTAAATATTCATACAATATTTAAATTAAAGTAAAAATTAACTTTAAGTGTGTATGCTTTTCTACTATGGAATTTATAAACATTCTGAAATTGTTAAAGGAATTTTATATTTAAAGGTATACTTAGAAATTGTTATATTTCTAAGTATACTTCTGTAAAGAAAGATGGAATTTGATCAGTTCATATACAGTATATGAAATTATCCAAAAAATGACCATTACTATTGTATTTTCACAAAATGACCAGCATGCCAGAAACCCTGGAGTTACTGCTGATTAAACTATGACTAATATTGGCATTTGCCAATATTAGTTTGGAATTTTCACGCTGGTTAGTGGTTGTAGAATACATATATTTATGTTAATTAAATGTTAAAGAAAACATTTTTGGAGTATAATAAAATAACAACATTGATTTAAAATCAGGAAGAGAGTTTTCTTTTACAAGACAAAACAATTAACAACTTACTGACATTAATAGCATTAGTAGTAGTTAGTGTAGTTGACTGACCATCTTCCCTGACCTTAAAAATAACACCTTCCTCTCAAATTTTCACACAAATCTGATATTAATGGTGTCAGCTGAGATAATTTACAGAGAGTTTCTTAAATTTAACATATTTATTTTTGCATTTTTGAATCAAACAACAATAAAATACACATCCAAAAAAGCATATAAAAGCACTTTCAAAATTCCTCAAGTATTTTATGTTAGAAAGAAGACAAAATGTTCATATAATCATAGTTTTTGATGTAATGCTGAGAATTTCACAGTTTTAGAATAAAAACTCATTTGTTTTTTTAATGCATTCTCTAGAGAAGGATGTATAACCTCACTTAAACCAGCAAGTCGGGCATTCCCCCGGGATAAATTAGCATGCCAATTTTTACCATATGGAAATATCTGCTTTCATGGTCTCCCCCGAATAAACCAGCATGCCAGTCATTCCACAAAAATACAGTATTAATTACAGGAGATAATATGTTTTTGTTTTTGACAAAAAATTTTTATTGAAAATATTTAATGTTACAATTTTCAATCTATACTATAGAAAATAAATAAGTAAAATAAAGACAACTTAATTAAATAGAATCAAATATTAGAAATAAGTTACAACCTTATCAGTGTGAAGAGTCAATAAAACTAAAAGACCATTTGTCACTAAGATTGGAGTAACTATTTTAGTCTAATTTATATCTTTATTATCTGTATATATTTCTCCCTTTAATTTTTGATATGTTTCAAATGATAATTCTATAAATTTACTTTGATATTTATCTCTCTGAAACTTTTAAGTGAATTTCAAATATTAGGTATGTTTTTGCAATAAGATACTTTCATAAAGAAATATTTAAAACATAATTTTAAATTAGATACATTTCTAGTATGGTCTCAAAAATTTTAGTATGTTATATGTGATTTTATTCATTTACATTTTTATTTTATATAAATATTCTTATTGCTATTGTATTAATATTTAAATCAAGTAATTGCCATATATTTTTAATATGATGATCATCACTTTATCAGTTATAACTAAATGTAATACACAATAACTATACAGTAGCAATTAAACTATTTAGTTCAATATGCATTTTTACACCACTTAGATGCAATGACTTCAAATATAATATGTTACATTCCAACCAATGAGATTATGTTTTTTATTCTGAAATTCTATTCTATCTTCCACATTAATTTAAAATTGTCAAAAATATTTGTTTTAGTAAAAAGAGTTTTTGCTAGATTTTAGTGATTACTGTGTGGATAGATTGATGATCATTATATGAAGTAAATAATTTTATTCATTTCCAAGCCATATTTTAAAAATTATACAGTAAGACCCTGCTTAATGTGGGGATGCATTCCTAGACAACAAAGCGCTAAGCAAAAGAGCATTAAACGAGGTGATTTTAACATAAAATGAATAGGAATAGGTAAACACGCAACCAAAAATAAACAGATTTTACTTTACTTTTAAGTTATTTTTATATTAATTTGCATAATAATATATATATGTTAAATAATACATAAACATATACACACAGAAATGTAAAGTTCATTTTTTGTGACGAAGGTCCTGACTTTTCTGAAATTCTTGTTTTATGCAATAAAGTTGTGTAATTTCATTTGTTGCTTTTTTCTTTTCTTAAGCAAATGTCAGTAGCAAGAGATCACATCCAAAACACCTCGTCTTACTTTTGCACTTTTTCAAAATCCAGATCATTCACTACAATTTGATCAACGATTTCAGTTATCATTACCAAACTTTTACTAAGAAAATCTGTAGAGAAGTTCTTTGGGTTCTTCATTTTCAGAATCACTATTTTCCAGTTCTACATGAATTCCTTGTTCTGCCAATTCTTGAAGGTCGTTGGTAAGACTCTCACCAGAAACCTGCAGTAATTTCTCAATATCCTGTCTACATCTCCTAGTCCTGCTTGTCTACATCTCCTAGTCCTAGCTTGTCTACATCTCCTAGTCCTGCTGTATTGATTAGGTTGAGTTTGGTCAACCTAACGATACAGCGATAGGCTCTTCTGGTTGAGAATTCTGAGATACCTTCAGCCGTAACTTCTTCCACACTTTGTTCATGCATTTATCAGTTAATTCTTGCCAAGTGAAGCCAATATTTCCTATGGCATCCATAATGTTATATTTTTTCCAAAATTGCACCAAACATAGATTTAAAGAAAGTACACCTTTTTGCCGATTGATTTATGTTTGTAAATTATTGCTGCAATTTATTGATTCATATATAATACGACTATATTATATACAAATCAATAAAATGCCATGATAATTTAAATCAGAGTAAACTTTGAGCTTTTTTTAGGCTTCAAGCAGGCTGCATTAAGCGGGTTCTTACTGTATTATAATTACAAAAATACACATAACAGAATTACCTGTATATATAGCACCTTCCTCACTTCCAACTACAAAGTTATTGAAATCACCATATGGAAATGTCAAACAAGTTACTGCTACTGGTCTTGATTGTTTTTGCTGACTCAATTCCATTGAATCCTGAATAAATTATTTTATTCAAATTTTATCATAAAAACTATAAAAAAATGTAATGTATAATAAAATTAAATAAAAACCTGAGGAGCAGAAAGCATGTCCAGACTCCAAGAACAAAATTTTCCATCAGTTGATATGCTAACTAAATTATGTGCATTCTGAGTTCCTACTACTTGCACACAATATACTGGATGCTAAGAAAAATATTATTTATTGTTGATTATAAAATAATGATGATAATTTGATGTGAAAAAATTAAATTAAATCTATTGTTATAATTAAAAGATATAGTCTTGTCAAAAATTACTAAACTATGTCTTGTTTATAAAATCTACTGCCGTTTTATGTTAGCAGCGTAGAGGTATGAAGGAGTACACGTCGAGAGTTGATATTTGGCACAGAGTATTAGCACATCATTTGCACATAAAAAAATCCAGACTTGTAGGTAGTCAGGGGACCGAGAACAGAGTCAAAATAAAATACAAAAGGTACCTCACCCCACCGAAGTCAGGTGGGGGAGAGTTTCACTCACAGTCATTCTAAGAAGTGAACTCTGACCTTAGGACTGAACACGCAGTTTCTTCTATGTTAAATAAAATTTGTAATCTAATTTTATAAATTTGGGAGTGCTTCAAATATGACGTTAAAATGGTTTTATGTCATTACAAATGGATTTTTTAACATTTTCTAGTATAGTAAAATCGTGGGACTGATAAAAATTTGACATTATATTAGGGTTGTTGTTACATCCGACGAAATTATAATCAGGTTAAACTGTACATTGTTTGTGCAAAATAAAAAATTAATTTCAGACGATACAATAGCCATGATTATTTTTTCAAAAATGAGAAATTTTCATTACGCATCAACAAAAATTCAACCCGGGCCGACACGCAATGGAGAGAAATTTTGAAATTGGATAGGTTAATTTCATCGAAAATGCATCATGCCGGCCAAGTTTGAACATTTGTGCCCAAAAGCAGTAATACCAAAGAAGATTGAAGAATGAGAACGAGACCTGCCTTGAGCATCAAAGTGATTCCGCTTAGTAGTGAGTCTCCAAGACTTAGTCTTGTCCTAAATAGGGTTTTGTCATTTTACTTGTTTCTATTTTCAATATAGTAGTTTAAAAGTTTTAAAATAAGTTATAAATTGAAAAAAACTGATTTTAAACTTATGCAATAGATATGTGCTTTAAATATATTTCATGTACATATTTTATGTTTGTTTATATAGGAATTCATAGCCAGTGTATATTTATAGTGTTATTCTTATGCAACATAAATTACATTTAGTTTGAAGAAAAGAAGTCTCCTGTCACCTCCTTTCTGGAACGATCTTGCATTTGCCCACAAAAAAAGTAAAAGTACAGTACCTACATATATGGCTTGAGTTTGTCAGTTGTTCTGATGTTATAAAAATATTAGCTTGACTCATCCACAATAATGTTTATAATGAACAAAACATATATAAATAAAATGATAATGCTAATAATCATTAAAACAATAAATTTATTATGGTAACTTTACTACACTACTAAGAAATTAATAACACCAAAACAATATTTACATTTAAGAAAACCTCAGCATGGTATAAGTATGATTATTTAGGAAATCAACCGAAATTATACTAATAATCAAATAATATAACCAAATTAACTATTAAACTAAAACTTAACTAATTAATTATTAAATTTAATACAAGATGACAACAAATTATTTAATGTTTATATAATTAATTAGTCAAGTTCTAGCCAAATTGTTTTAATTTCATTATATCACGTGATTGAAGACAACCAATTTGTAACATAAAATTTTCATAATCTTGTTTCCTGTTACTTTTACTTGAAAAACTGTTTATGTTTCTGTTTCTGTTTTCTATTATAGGAAACAATAAATTTAATTACATTCAGTTTAAATTATTTCTTTAACTACAATAGGAAAGAATCTCAAATAACTTTTTTGATATGAGAAAAAGATTTGCAAAACTAATGATAAAAAAGCTTTAATGAAATGAAACAAAATAAATATCTTTCATTTGCCATAAACACTAACTGATATTCCTGGACTATTTTACACACATTATTTTTCCATAATGGATAATACAATAAATATCCAAAACATAAAAATAAGTGGATAAAATCTCAAATTATTGAAGTTTGAAATTTCAAAGGAAATTTATTGAAAATATTTCAAAAAAGTTAAACAATTTTTTGTATATTGCAGATAATATTTGTAAAATGTCTATAGAAAAGTATGTGAAAATTTTTCTATTTTTCCAGAGTATATTTTGCTGAGAATAATTCTAAGATCTTAAAGATTATTACTTATATTTTTACTCAAAAAAGTTAACATTACTGGAAGTACATTACTATTCAGTTTAAGAAAAACTAGTTTGTAAACTGAACTATCTTCAGTAATTATAATATAATTATTATAATGTAAAATGAATAAATTAACAAATTTGCCATTTTTCTATTTTAGCAAAATATTTTTGACACATTGTTTTGATTTCACAAATAATTTCAAAGTTAAAAATTTTATTTATTTTATAAACTTAAAATATATTAATTTATTTAATGCATAAATTAGCAAATAACTTACAGTATGAGCTGCTGCTGATAAAGGACTTCTTTGAACTGGTGTTCTTTTATTACTTCTATTATCCCAAAGAACTATTTGGCCAGAATAAGTCCCACCAATTACAAGGTTAGGATGAAATTTGGCAAAACATGAAGACATAACTGCTGACTGAAATTTAAATTATTTCAAACTTTATTAATATTTAATAAAAGTATTGAAGTTGATTTTATGAAATATATCTTTAAATAATAATATACAAAACAGAGATAAAAAATATGCACAATCATTTTTCATTATTTATTAATATAGTATTGATTTAAAAGAACTTTAAGTTCATTACTAGTGCAAATTAATTTACTATTACAATAAATAGAACAAATACAAATATTTCAGGATATTAATAGAATATACATTAAATTTAAACTTTAAAATTTTAACAGAATTTTAAGAATGCAAGTGGAACTTTAGCAGAAACAGATTATTAAGAAATTGAGCAAAAAACTAAACTTTAAAATAATTTTTTTAAACAGAATATTGTTCTAGAAGTAAAATAAAATAATTGAAAATAAAAAATATATTTAATTTTAAAGACCATAAAATTATTAATATATTCAATAAAATGCAAAATAACATTTTAAATTAGTCATATATACAATTTTAAGAAAGACCTTTTTTTAAGTTAAAGTTTTGAAAAGATTATTTTAAGTTACATAAAAAGTATGACGATCAAACTGTTAATTACATAAAAAATATCTGATTTGATAAATTATTTTTAAAACATATTTTACTAAAATGCAACAATAATGAAGTTTTCTTAATTAGCTGCTATCAATCTTTGTCTCTTGTCACTAACAACTAGACTATTTTGAAAATTATATTTTGTGCTGTGCCGCACCTGAGCTATACTGGTTATCAAGGGTCCCACAGATATGGTGCCTAATTTAAATTTTGATATTCTTACTACAGTAATGAGTTTATAAAAAATTGATTTGGGTTTTTTTGTTGATGGGTACCCAGTCAATCGCTCTTTTTGCCCATAGAGTAATGCACCACCAAGGCATGGACGACCCTTACCATATAAATAAATTTAAGGATCTTGAGAATATGTCAGCCTAAGAAAGTCATGAATGGTTTTATGTCATATATAAGAGCAAATCCGTGAGTTATAAGGCTCTAAGCAATTAATTTGAAGAATAGTTACCATGGGATTTATGATTTCTTTACAAATTAGTGTGAAATGCTAATTTTAATTAACAAGTTTAATTAATTAAGCTGAAACTTTTGTAATCTGGAGAACTGTTCATGATGCTTCTTAACACATTGAAAACAAGAAATGAATTACAGTAAGCTGAAACATCTAAGATTCCCCTAAATATTGAAAACTGATCAAAAAAAGTTGCAACCTTAAACTTTTAACTAAAATTACATATAAAATACTAATATTTCATTCTTAAATTATTCATCTACAATTTTAAATTAATAGAAATTACATATTTATTCTAATAAACAGTACAGCAGAAAGATAGAAAAGTTAGAGACAGTGCCCTCTACTAGAAAGTGTGTTGTCTATTGGAGGAAGATAAGGTTTATTGTAAACTTAAAATTACACATTCTACTCAGCATTGCCACTCTTACCTTAAGTTAAAATGAAGTGTAAACATGTTAAGTGTTGCATTGTTCAAATAATAATAAAGTGAAAAAGTCACAAGATTTATTTCATTAATTGTCACTTCTAATTCCCAACAAATAGAAATAATAGTCACCCCTAATAAACACCATAGTTGTAAGCCAAAAAAGTTATAGACTGCATTTTTATTATAATAATTTTATTCTTTATATTACAAACCTAATGTTTTTTAGTGTTTTTGATCTGATCTTACATATCTTCAAAACAATGTCTTTTGACTTTTTAATATAAAACAGTTGACCACACTTGATTTAAAGCATACTTTTTCATTTGGATATCAAATTATTAAACTACATCCAGCAACTTTAACTGCTATGTTTTTAATAATTTTGCTTTCAGGCAAAAAAGGATGGTAAAATCAATTTTCTGTAATATGCTTCTTGTCTAGTCTTGTATTCAATTTTACAAGCTCTATGACAGCTTTTTTTTTTCTGCTAGACTTATTACACCATCAATTAAAAATGTGATTTTCTAAAGATTGTCCCGTTTCTATTTCCTAGAGTATGCATTTCAGACTTCGAGTCCCTTATCAACTCTTTGTGATGTAAATAGTTATGAGAAGCACAGAAATGGTGACAATTGATAACATATGGATGATAATTATTAATTTACAGGTGTTTGAGTAGATATGATGGTACGATACATAAAGTAGTAATAGCAGTGAGAGGCAAACAATATGCATAAAAAATTTCTGTGAATCATCTCATCATGTTACGAATTTACTGTAAATAAGTTTATAATTTTATTGTTTTAACGATGCACATGTTTTTTACTTCATCATTCTATTTTATTGTTTTAATGGTAAAACAGTTCCCAATGTCACGGTTTTAAATGTTATGGTTTTAACAGTGTACTTTTTTATGTATATTGATTTTCTAAAGACTGTTTCTAATTGATGGTTAATAAGTCTAGAGGGAAAAAAAGCCGTCATAGAGCTCCTAAAATTAAAATCAATATTAAAATTCATTCTTTTTTATGCAACAACGTCAAAATATATAATCTAATGCAGGGGTATCCAAACCACGGCCCGCATGCGGCCCAAGGCAAGTTCCAATGTGGCCCAATAAACATGTAAACAAAACCAACAAATGTTTTAATTTTTTTATTATTTTTTTATTTCAACGGATAAACCCAAAAAAGAAGTTTCACAAAGCCGTAAACCTTTACTCATATTTTATTTTTGAGTGGAAAGGAAATATTTTCAAATGCTTGGAGATATGCGAATGAGGAAGGATTACTAAATAAAGCTGGAGTTGTGACTCAAAGGACACAAATTTTGAGAAAGGAGGGAAAGGATGAAAGATAAAAAGTAGTGAGAAAGGTTAAATAGATCTTCTGTTATGCAAATATTGATCCTTAATTTTCCAACCTTTCTCACTTCTTTATCTTTTGTCCTTTCTCTCCTTCAAGTCACGATTCCAGCTTTATTTAGTATTTCTTCCAGCGTTGCAAGATTTGGCTACATTGCACCAAATGTGGCAACTTTTTTTAGTTTGACATAAAAAATGATTTGGCACTTTGGTTACTTTTTTGGCTACATATTATTTATAAATGTATTAGTTGAATAAAAATGCACTTTAAAATGGTGTTTTGTCACTTTTTATTAATTAGGGACCCAAATAAAACAAATATTTGTGTTTTTCAAATACATTTTCATTTGTCTCTTTTATAATAAATAAATTTATCTATTTCTAAGTAAAAATTGAAAGTGTCTGTACAAGTAATTTTTTAAAATATCCTTTTTTATGATAAAGTTTTAATACTTATTATTATAATCTAGACATGTTAAATCCTTAAATATACTTGTATATTGGGCCACAAGTATATATATATATATATATACTTGTGGCCCAAAACTCGACTTCTTCTAATGCGGCCCAGAGAAACAAAAAGGTTGGATCCCTGATCTAATGCATGTTATTAGTTGTCTTATATAGTAGCAATAACAAATTTTCATTTTATAAACATAGATTTTTGTTTTATTTTGTTATTTAATTCCAGTCATTATTCTCAAACATAATTTTAAAAAAATTTGAGTTCTCTCTGTCTATCATATCTNTTACCAAATTGCCAAAAAAAAAAAAATTATATAGGTGAAACTAGTAGAATGTTAGAATTAAGAATTAAAGAACACGAAGCAGCAATTAGATTAAAATACAATAATTCTCTGTGGTTCAACCATATAAAAAATAGTAATTGTCAAATAGATAGAAATAACATAAAAATAATTCATTTGGAAAAAGATATGTATAAATGTAAATTTAAAGAACATATTGAGATTATAAAATTTAAAGATGATAATTTAATCAATATATCAAATGGTATGCAAATAGATCAACAGTGGTACAATATAATGGATGGCACTAATGGAAAAAAGTGATTGTAATGTATTTATCATACAGTGTTGTGTCAGAAAATAATTGGAAATATATTGTGAAATTGTGTATGTATTCTCTTGAAAATGTTTTTAATATTACTATGCTAAATATAATTAACCTGTAAAACGATTATAATTACAGTTACTGCAACGTTATATTGTAGAAAATACACATTCTTTAAAAGTTGTACTTATATAAGATTTTATGAGCACATGTTGAAAAATATAAAAGTGAGTATGTATCGTATTATATTGTTATTTTATTAGAATATGTGATGTTATAAAGTAAAAGATTATAAAANTAATCATAAATATATACATTGAAATTTCTGTTCTCTGTAATTTTCAATCTGGATGACATGCAGTTGACAGTTTTTCAGTGTGCAAATACTTTTTGAGAAAAAGCTGACCTCTGAGAGACACCACACAGGAATTTGTGTTTGGTAAAAACTTAGGAATAATGCATAGGTGTTGACACAGCAATGGTCATTTTGAATGAGTGGAACTCAACACAAAAGCGATTTAAAATAAATTTATTCTTACAAAAATACAATTCCTTATATTTTCTGCTATTTTTCATCACCACAAAACAAAAGAGAAAAGGCAACAACATACCAAATAATTTTAAATGAGAGTAATGCATTGTGTGCAACAATGTGATGCCTACTGTATAACATTGTCATATACAATGCAACATAACAAAAATTAAAAAAAATTTAACTTTGATAATGCAAACTGTTAAAATTAAGATATTTTTGTTCAATTTATAACAATTATTGAGACATCATGACAAATGCATTTATTTGATAAAATTCTCATTATTTTTTAAGTTATAAATCTAGTAATTTAAGCAGTTAAAGTCATGTGATCCCTTGCCAAATTTTTGATAATTTGGGCATCATTTCTCACAGAGAAAACATTCCAGCAAAATTTTGACTCTTTCTGTAATATTTCAAGTGATATTAATTTTTGAATTGAAGATATTGATTTTTGAAAACTGTGTGATTACATCACACAAAAAATTAAATTGAAATAATCAGTTCTGACAAAACTAGTTGTTACAGGTTAAAGCAAACACTGTTCTGAATAAAATAATACAAAAATGTTGTCATATGAACCATTTACAATAGTGATGAAAGTTTTTATTTGAGGTAGTAAAACACTGCAGTTTGTTTGATTTGGAATGGTGGTTCACTCTAGCTTTACTGCTAATCTCCCTTCAAAGTAATAAAGTTTTCCTACTCTGACTTTGAAAGATAACCTCTCTCTCTCCAATTACAAACAAACCTGATGTCAATCCATGAAACCTGAGATAATTTAGAGAAGTGAAATTTGATACATTTATTTTTATGCTTTTTCTGATCAAATTGCAATAAAATAAACATAAAATTTGCATTTTCATCAATCCACAAATTATCATTATTAGAAAGAAGACAAAATATGGAGAGAAAAGATATAACTGTAGTTTCTGATGCAATGCTGATAATTTCACAACTTTGAAATAAAATTTGGTATCTGAGAGTGTCTATTGTTTCACATACTGGAGGATTAAGTATCTTTATTGTTTCCTTACTGAAATGTAATGTTACGTCATTGTGATGCAAGAAAAAAAAAGATTCTTTCTGGCATTACTTTGTGAATACATTTCTTGAATATTCATAAGATTTTACAATATTTTACCAAAATTGATTGTTTCTTCCTTTTCATGCAATTTTCCAATAATAAAAATTCAATCATTGATCACTGTTATGTATAAAATGAGAAAGACAAATTCATGTTTAATCTTGACTACTATGTAAAGAACAATGTAACAACTAAAACATTGAACTAATACACTAAACACTAAGGCACTCATGATTACTGAATGTTTCTATTCCTGCACTTCTTGGAACATAAGGAACTTTTATTTATCAATCAACCATTATATTATGTAATTTGTTTTCTAATCCATTGCTTATTTTAGGAAGGCAACATTTTATTAAACAAAAGAAATGTTTTTGGTAAAAAATCTGACAAATTTCAGCTTAGAAACATCTATGTATGCTATGGTAAGTTCATAGTAAAAGCAATTGTATTCTAAATTGAAATAATAGAAACATCTATTTACATATATTAACATTTTAGAATGATATAGAAGTGAAATTCTCATGTTAAAAGAAAATTCAAATTAAACATTCAGAACAATTACAAGAATTTTTTAAAATAAAATTCTTCACATATTACTAGTGATTTTGATAAAACTCCATTTTAATTTTTCTACTTAATTCATTTAGAAATATCCTTAATGCATAATTTTATTTACTCTTTAAAGTCTTAATACATTTTCTGATCTAAAATAAAACTTATTTCAGCTAACTTCACTGTATTCAACTAAAGTAAATATTTACTTTTTGTTTATACAATTTTGTAATTCATCTATAAAATCTTATTCAATTTCATTTGATTTCATTTAAATCTCAATTGTTTATAATGCTTTTTCTCTTAAATTCTTTTTCTGCTAATCTGCTCTGGATTAAATAAAATTAAGGAACAAGTTAATCACAACCAGATGTTCTGCTGAATTATTGGGCTATTAAATAATCAATTTGATAATTATTAAATCATAAGATTATTAAATTAGCCTTTTAATAGCCTGATAATTCAGCATATCTGGATGTGATTAATTAAAAAATTGCATTATACAGTTGTTGTTTATATTTAAAAAACAAATAAATCATTTACTCTTTCTTCAATTTCATTTAATAATTTTTTCACTCTAAAATATATTTTAAGTAAAAGAAATGCTTACCTGAGAGGACCAATCGAAACTTGTAACTGTACGATTTTTTGACCAGTGATCATCAACAAAGTAACGATTGAGTGATAATTTAATTCCACTTTTATCATCCCTATAAAAATTTTAAGATTATGCAAATTTAAATTCACTTTACATAAAAAGTAATTATTATAAAAATGTCAATAAAAATAATCTTTTAAATATTACATAAAATAATTGTCAGCGAATTATGAAAATGATTTTATATTGTTTTAGTGATTCATTTTCAGTAATAACTTTTATAACATTTATTAAAAACAATTTAATAATTATTTTAAGATCTGATGAGTCCTGAAAACATTAACCCAAACATACAAAAAATACTTCGTAAATATTATAATGGTTTATTTTTTTAGAATAAATAAATAATAGAAAATTTACAATAAAAAGAACTTTTCCTACTTAAACTTCTCATTCATATGGCAATTTTATGAAAAACTTATTTTCAACAAATTCAAATTTAGCTTAATTTTTCAGTTACTTGTTATAGTAACATTAAAATTTTGTTAGAAAAAGTTTTCATCAGAATAAATAATGTATGTTTTTTAAAGTCATAATGATGGAAGTTAAATGAAGCATTAAGAACAAATAGTGAATATATTCAATTTTCTTTTTCAGTTAAAATCTAAAAATTCTGAAAGATATTGATCTATTTAAAAGAAGTTTGCTGTTTTTTTCTTCTAATCATTTTTATGCTATTTGCTTCAACTCAACATCTTCAGCATCTGTGTGTCTAAAATTTTTCCTTAGTTTAATAATATTACAGAGATATTTCTTTATATTTTTTAGAAAACAAAACATATTAGTTTACATATTTCAGAAATTCAGTTTTTCTTACTCCAATCAAATTGAAAGTTTACAATGACATTAAAACTACAGGATAAGTGGGCCTTAGAAGTTAGCACAAAAGAAAGAAGTGACAGTGAAAACTGATGTACAGACACACAAAATTTTATTTGTGGCTATAAGATTTATACAAATTGTGATTAATGAAACAACAAAAACCATGTCTATGCCTTAAATGTAGCATCATTCAAATGATCTCCAACAATATTAATGCATTGTTGCAAGCATATATAGAAGCTCCTCATGATATCCTATACTTGCAGGGGAATGGCTTCAATCTCTTCTCAGATTGCCATTTTCAAATCCCCAATATTTTGTAGCCACCAGGAGAAAACTTTGTCCTTCAGATATCCCCCAAAATAGTTTGAGGAAAGGTTACCATCACCTTTAATCTATGTTAAGGTTTACCATAAAAAAATTGTGAGTTGCTTTCTACCCAATGAGGAAAGTTATGCTTATTCACAAAACCATTAAGAAGAAAATCTGCTTCATCAGACATTACTAGAGCAGTTAAAATTAATTCATCTCACTCATTTTTCAAGGAATGTTGTGCAGGAGTCTTGTCTGCTCGCTAACTGCCAGTTACAGGGAATTCCACTCCTGTAACGCCACTGCACGTAAGTGTTCTAATAACAGTTACAGCTCTTGCAACTTGTAAAGATGGAACCTTAAATCAAACTTCACAATCTGAGGTGGAAAGTGTGATATGTGCAGTATTCTTGAATGGAAACAACTGATCAGGATTTTTGCTACAGAGCCATACGGACTCTTTGGACATTGTCAGACATATGCACTAAATTTTTGGACCGTTATGCTTTTTATCAGTGATACTGTTGCACTGTTTCATCAACCTTAATAGCATCCTTATGTCTGGAACATGGCAATGGTTCCTATGCAGTCCTCCATAGCATGGACATGGACGTCCATCTGCCATTCATAATGGACTAAATGGCATACTTTTGTGTACAGGTTAGGCAAGATAGATGGCACCACACACATTCCTAACTGTAGTGTTGTTAGTTGTAATTATACTAATTTCTGATTGAACCTACTTTGAACTATCAATAATCACTTTTCAAAAACTTAAGATATTAAACTAAATTAATTTTAATTGGACACTCAATGTTAATTGGTAATTCTAATTCATCTTCAATTTCAAATCATATTTTATCGAAATTTTTAGGAATAAATAATTATTTTCAAAAACTCTTTTATTTTTAAAGTTTACACACAGTAAAAAGTAAAACATAAATAAAATGAAATATTTTTTACCCTTCTTGTTCCTCTCCACCACCAGTATAGTCTACACAAATGTCAACATCTTCATATAAAACACGTTCTATTATTCGTGTGGCCCGATCAAAAAAATTTTGAAAATCTTCTCTCATCATGATTTGTTTCTTTTCTTCTTCACTAAATTCCCTTGCTTTTTGTAAATATGTAAAAAATTGAAATTATTTTCAAATATATTCATAGAAAAATTCATTCAAATAATTTTAATTACTAGAGGATGTATTTAAAACAAACCTTTCTTTTTTTCTTCTTTTACAATTTCTCCAGGTGGAATGGCACTTTCTGTATCAGGTGTATGAGCAGGACGTACCATTTCTACATGAGGTAATCCAGTCACCTTGTGTGGTGGATGAGCAAAAGATTCCAAATCGTGAGAGGGAAGGGAAGACCCTTCCCCATCTTCTTCAACTGACATGTCAGCGTAAGTGAGAACTAGGTGGTGAATAAGTCATGCCTGACATTTTGGTATATTTTAATAAAATAAAACACAGCAACATTGCTAACCAATTTCGAATTAAATGCATTATTTAATAATTACTATAATTAAACTGAAAAAATTTGTTTCCCTCCTAGTTAAATATAATATTAAAAAAAAAAAAAGCAAATAGTAAAGATGACATCTTTTAATATATTTATTTTAATCATCAAATGACATCATGACTTAATATTATTAATCAAACTATTGAATTACTATTTTCTATATTTTATTTAATATATTTATGCTCTTGCACATGCGACTCACTATGTAAATTTGTAATTTTCAAATGTTTTAAATTTCAAATGTGCTTCTTGTTCTATTCATTAATTTCATTTTAGAGCCTGAAGATGGCCATTGTAAATGGCCAAAAATATTTGTTCCATTAATAAACGTTCTATTTTTACTAGATTTAAGGCTTTTTGATATTAATATTAACTACTATTTAAAGAGACAATGGATGACATAAGAGTAATATTAAAACTTTATTAATATATTAAAAACAGAATAAAAATAATAATCATTAAATTATTATTATATCTTTTTTAACATAAATCTTTCACAATTAAACAAACTAGTTCTCAATACATTAATGACTTCCCCTCTATTTGAATTATTAAGCTTAAGTATCAATTCAAAACTTCTTTATAACAATAAAACTTCTCAAATATAATTTCAAAATTAATTGATAGAAATGTATCAATAATGATTTATTGATATATTAATCAGATGAGAATTATAATTATTGGTCAATAATCAGCTAGCTTGGATTGGATATGCCATCAGAGAAGAAGGTAGAAATTTGAGTTCTAAGGACTTGTTTTTAAAAGAACATCAAAGAAGAAGAATCCACTAGCAATCAATAATAGACCTATAAAAAATTGTATGAAATATTTTGCCATAATTTATGTAATTAAAAAATAATACAGAGGTTATTATTAAAAACATTTTACATTTAAAAAAATAAAAATGAAACAACTACATTTAAATGCTACAGAATCAATTACTAAAAAAAATATTTAAATATTTTTAAATATATATAATCCTTCTGTATATATAATCCTGTTGAAATTACCATGAGAAAAATCTATAATGGTTTTTTTTTATTTCTTGTTTTAATAACTAATAATTAATTGAAAATTGCTGACAAAACAGCATATTTTATACAACAGAGGTAAATAAATCAAATTTTCCACACAATTTACACAAAATAAAGAACATTATTGAAATGTAAGACTAAGCAAAAATAATACTTCCCTAGTACAAAATGTTCTTGATAGAGAACTTAAAATCAGAAAAGAAATCACAGTATAGTAGAAGCAATAGGATCTATTAATGAAGTCCAAAAAACATTATTAACTGAAGAGATTCAGTTTCTTCAGCTACATCTTGGAAATAGCTCGTGAATATTTTAATGTTGTATATAGAAATTCATAATATGTCAATTTTATTTTACTATCTATGTATGTATGCATGTCTCTTTAATCCGAAATTAAGTTTGGTAGACTATCATTAAAGCTTTCAGGTTAGACACTTCTTTTATTGTTTCCACATATGCATTTCAAACTTATATAAATGCTAAGTCCCTCTTCAGTGCAATACTACAAATTATTAAAAACCCACAATTAGTAACATGACAAAATTCCTCACGTGTAGGTCATATTTACTGACATAAAACTGTCATACTTAAAAATTGTCACACTTATACGATACCTATGGTTCTGTCTTCTAAAAACACGGTAACATTGGAAAGATTTTTAATACAGCCATTAAAAACACCACAAATACATTGGGTCTAAAAATATATATATATACAAGAACTACTAATAATGTAAATCATAAAATTGAATTAAAAGAATTAGAGAATAAGTTTATTTTGAATAATTACCCCAGTTACAAATTAAAAATGTGCCACAACCAGTATTATAAAAACAGATTTAATATCAAATATAAAAAAGATAAGAATTATAAAGCTTTTCCTTATATCAATGATGTTTATAATAATTGTAATAAGATTTTAAAAAAGAAAATATTGTTTTGGCCCCATCTTTGACCAATAAAATTTCACGTAATATTTACAATAATAATAATAAATATAAAATGAATGTTGATAAATTAAAAAATCAGGAGTTGTATATAAAATTAATTGTAATTGCCAAAAAAAAAAAAATTATATAGGTGAAACTAGTAGAATGTTAGAATTAAGAATTAAAGAACACGAAGCAGCAATTAGATTAAAATACAATAATTCTCTGTGGTTCAACCATATAAAAAATAGTAATTGTCAAATAGATAGAAATAACATAAAAATAATTCATTTGGAAAAAGATATGTATAAATGTAAATTTAAAGAACATATTGAGATTATAAAATTTAAAGATGATAATTTAATCAATATATCAAATGGTATGCAAATAGATCAACAGTGGTACAATATAATAGGTGGCACTAATGGAAAAAAGTGATTGTAATGTATTTATCATACAGTGTTGTGTCAGAAAATAATTGGAAATATATTGTGAAATTGTGTATGTATTCTCTTGAAAATGTTTTTAATATTACTATGCTAAATATAATTAACCTGTAAAACGATTATAATTACAGTTACTGCAACGTTATATTGTAGAAAATACACATTCTTTAAAAGTTGTACTTATATAAGATTTTATGAGCACATGTTGAAAAATATAAAAGTGAGTATGTATCGTATTATATTGTTATTTTATTAGAATATGTGATGTTATAAAGTAAAAGATTATAAAATTAATAATATAAGTCCAAAATGCATATGTGGAAACAATAAAAGAAGTGTCTAACCTGAAAGCTGTAATGATAGTCTACCAAACTTAATTTCGGATTAAAGAGACATACATACATACATAGATCATAATAACAGCTACCAAAAGTGAGATATTTATTTTACTATTTATTTAAATTAATTTTATTGATATATGATTTCATTGTTGCTATAAACATTTTTATTTTTTGTTTGTAATTTGATATTTAAGTCTCCATGATAAAATTGTTTTTATGAGCATTCATGATGATGCATGTTACAGTTCATAAGTACTTAAACTTTAATTTTTTGTTAAATTTTATCTCCTTTAAAATAGTTTGTTTCCACTTCTGTATGATTGGAATTATTTAGTTAGATATTGTTTCTTCATTAAACTTCTTCATAACTGCACAATGAGAGAATTGTGTTATCTATATTTATTACTATCTATGGGAATCCATTTAATTAGTGAAAATTATTCATCTTTTATTCTGAACTGAGTTATAAATTATACAATTAAATAGCAGCTAGCAATAAACTACAGATTAAAATAAGCACAAAATTGTTGTTAAATTACTTTTGCTGAATATTTGGCAAATTTATACTAGATAAAAGTTTTATCTAGTATAAATTTAATAACAACTTTTATCTAATAAGAATCTGGTGTGAAAAATTAATTATTTCTTTCAGGCAAATTTATTCTACTAAACGATTGAAAAAATTTATATAAAAAACCAAGCCAAATTATACTAATATTATGTAATTTGGTATAAAAAATTAGATGTTTAAGCACCAAGGAGACTAAACTATTGTACAGACAAGTTAGCTGAGACCACTGATGCAAGTAGGTATATACAAAGTAAACTGGTCTACTTGTAAAATAGGATGATGTTTTTTCTGATATGGAAGGGAATCTTTACATATAGGAAGACTGTTTTTAAAAAACAAAAAGTAATTTTAAGCAGCATGTCACTCTCTTTCAAGGAAAATTGAGCTTTTATTTTAAGCCAGACAATAATTTAGGAACTGGCAGGACTTGCTTCTCTTTGACATACAAACCATGGATTATTCTTCTAATCACATCATATCAAAGTTATCTAATACAAATTCTTTTTAACCACATTCTGTATTTACTTAACAATAGATTTTTTAGATTCTTTGAATTTTTTCAGAGATATTTTCAAATGACTGATTGTCAACAAATGCCAAAAACTGAATTTTCACTGAAATCAACTGAAAATCACCAAATTTCTTTTTAGATTTAAACTATTTTACTATCAGTATACATATTATTAATAACTGCTATGATTACATTTGATGACTAAAGTTTAATTTTGTTTACTTTTGCTGGATTATATACATATTTTTGCCTTGAATAATTAATACTAATTTAACAAATTAATTATATATAAACCAACCCCAACATAGAATAATAAATAAACATTACTGTTGAATTTTAATTTGGACATAAAATAGCTAATTAATTATAGATACTCATAATTTGGATTAAAGATAGACAGTTAAGCCACCATTTTGAATTCAACAAAATAAATATAAATTTTGAACATGTAAATTAAATCATAATAATTTAATGAGTAAAGAAAGGTTAGCATGTTGCAGATCTTAAAAACAAAATATCAAAATAAAATCAGTAAATAAGTATAATTTAAAAATAAAATTAAGAACGAAACTAAATATACATACTAAGTAAATATATTATATTGTAAGTATCAATAATTAAACAAATAATTTTGTAAATTTAACACTAAAAATATTTTTGTTATATAGTTTTTGTTTAACAAATTTATATTAACAAATGAAAACAACACAGTTGAAAATCACAATACAAGAAAAAATGAAACATGAACATTTAAATACAAATATTTTTATATTTTTCTTTATGGAAAAGAAATATTGAGTAAAGCAAAAATTTTCATCAAAATATAACTGTCAAAACAAAATTTTCTTCTTGATATTATACAGAAGCATGCTCTTGATTTAACAGATCCCAATTTAACAGACAAAAAATTTAGAACCTGTTTTATTTGTAAATAGAAAATGCTAAAAGATTGAGTCAATGAATCAGCATTATTAGTGGAAGCAGTCCATTAGATACATTGTATAGTTTTGAAGTTTTTAATTAAAATAAAGTTTGGTTTCTCTTCGACATAAATTTACTTA